ACTGACAGTGGCAGTGGCTGGCAGCAGCGAGAGGGGGAGTACTGGCGGTGGCGATGGCGATGGCAGCACCCAGGCCCCTGGTGGTCTGTTGTTGTCAATTCAATTGAATTCAATTGTTTTGCCTTTTTGCGCTGCAAATGTGCTGCAATCACGACGCGGACTGTTTGCCAGCAGCCAGCCAGCCGCTTGCTTGCTTGTTTATTTGTTTGTTTGTAGGTCTCTGACGCAGCCACACATCTCCAGCTACACGCAGCCCCCCTCCCCACAGCAGCTGTTTACCTTGCGAGAGCACTCGCCCTCGCACTCTGCCCACCGCTCTCCAGTGAAAACTGTTGCCCATTTGTAACGCACCCGCATTCTGACTTCCTGGCGACACAAAGTAAATCGAATCCGAAACGTAATCCGCTTGGCCTGTGTCCAGAGCACAGCTGACTGGGCGCCAGCACCACCAACAATCTTAATGTCCAATATTGTACTTGCTGCAGGGTTGTCAGGTAATTAAAAAATATACAAAATTATATGAAACATTTCAATGCAAAAATATCGATACAAATATTTTATATTCGTTTGTTTGTATTTACTTTTACAGTAAATATATTTTTATTTTGAAAATAATTTGACATATTCCTATTTTGTGATGTTTTGACAACCCTAACTTGCTGTCAAATCCGAAGCGAATCTGAATACCACTGCAAATAATTGGGGAATTTTGCAATAATATGCAGTAAAGGCGTTTGCTTTGTTCCTTACCCGATGAATTGCATTCTGTTCGTGCACTGTCATAAATATTTGACTAGTCCTAGTCCTTCGACTTGAGATGCAGCTTAAATTTCTTCTGTCGCCCGTGGGCTTGGCTTTCCCAGTGGAATCTGATTAATTTCTAATCAGCTTACAGCATTTAATTTATTTTCGTAGCATTTTCTTGGTATCTCAGTACACAAATCACAACTAATCAAAGGCAATATACCGTCTCGCTGGAGCATCACAAGGCCCAAAAATGACAGAATTCTTATTATTCAAATAAATTCAATTTTATGTAGTTCAAAGTTCGAGTTTTATGAATGGCAATCTGCACCGTAAATTGTATTATCAAAATAAATAAATATGAATTTCAATTAATTGCAAGAAAATTCCGACTAAAACAAGACTTGAGGCCAGAGGCTTTAATTAGGAAATTGTACAAGCCTCAACTCATTCTTTATCGTTCACCCAAAGTTCAGCTCACACTTGAAGCACTCGGCACTCGGCACTGGGCCGTTGGGTCCTTGTTTTGCGCCAGACATTCAGCAGTTTTCAAACATTTCCACCTGCCACTCCCCACGCCCACTCCTTAACCACCCAACTTGATGTTCATATTTTCGGAAAACAAATTTATTTTCAAGCGCGTCCAATAAATCGAGGCTGACCCCGCCTGTTGACCGTTGACTCCTTGGTTGTTTCCATTTCCGCCTCCACCGGAAAATATGACTGCCCCGGACAGAGGGGCACGGGGCTGGGGACGGAATGGGGATTATGTCTTTATGTGCATATTTTAAAATGTTATAACCGTCGCGCTCCACACAGATTCCTGTTTTTCACTTTTGATGCTAAATCTGCCATTACTTCTAATGAAGTTGAAGGTCCTGTGCTGTCCTGTCCGTTGCCGTTGCTCTGAAAATAGGAAACAGCAAAGCGAAAAGCGAAAAGCAAAACAAAGACAAAAGACCCCAAAACGGGTCTGAAAAATATTCAAATTAATTTCTGTGTCGACTTTTGTCCGCTGTTCCGCTGCTGTCGGCGGCTCCTTTGACCAGGTTGTCGCCGTTGTATTTTGCGTGTGGCTGCCACCCGGTCCCTGTCTGACCAGCGCAGCGCCCCGTTTTTAATCCTGACTTATGGACTACGTATTCGGTTTCGTCATCGTCCTAATATCCTGCAATCCGACATTTGCCTTTTGTTTCCTGACAACGCGGCCAACAGCAGCAACAGCAGCAGCAAACTGCTGACTGGCTTTTTATGGACGAGTTGCGGGGTGGAGAGGTTGTTTTTGGACCATGTTGTTTAGTTTTAATTACACGCGAGTCTGCCTTTCGCCGGTTACGCACCGATGGCTTGAATTTCACTACATTCCCATAATAACTGTGCGCAGGGGTGGAGGAGTGGAGCTTTCCAAGGCGGGGTAAAGGTTCGACTTCCACTCAACAAAAAGGTACCCGGCCATATGCTCGAAATGTTGCGGGCAACATTCGAAATGTTGCGAGCACATTTTCAGGGACTTTGCCTACCCCTGCCATTCGGAGTCGCCTGACACAGTGTCAGGGCAGAGGGAGATGGCGCACAAACAAGGCGAACAGAGAGAGAGAGAGAGAGAGAGAGAGAGAGAGAGAGAGAGAGAGAGAGAGCAGGAGCAGAGATAATAATCTCTCCGAGTTGCGTGCGACAGGTGAAACCTAACACGAGGGGCACAGCAAGAGAGAGGAAGATCTGATCAAAGGATCACTGTTAGATGTGACAAAAGCATTGAAAGAAAACAACTTAATTTAACATTTTACACAATCAACAATACTAACTCAATAATTGTTAAAGTTGAATGAATATTTTGATGCACCTATAAGTATGAATAAGCTTCAGAGACGAACTCCAATACGGAATATTCGCCGTGGCACAGTTGGGCTGCGGCGAACTTCAGTAACCAGAGAGAGAGCACAGCCCGACCCAACGACCAACCACCCACTCGCTCGCTCTCTCTCTTGCCTGTCAGCTCGGGCCATTCGTGGTTAGAGCCCGAATCCACAACGAGCACACCCGAAGCCGCCCACGAGCCACGAGTGTCCGGAGCCCAATGCTGGCAGGCAAAAACCGTTTCAGTTGCTTCGAAACAGTGACACGATTCGCGCGCGACACGCTTCCTCCCATAATATCGAGCAGAGAAATCATCTAGCAAATCTCCAGCAGGAGCAGCAGCAGCCAGAACTGAGAACAGCTGTGTACTGCCTGCCAGTGGCAGAGTGGCAGAGTGGCATAGAGATTCTTGCAGCAAGAGTGCAGAAATTTTCACAGTGCTGATTGTTATTTGGGTCTTCGTGCTAGTGCCAGTTAAGAGTTGAACTCTGCATGTAACCGAATGAAATAAGTGAGAGAAAAACAGATGCAAGTCATAGCCGAATGAAATCTGTATGCTAAAGTGACAAAAGAAGCAGAAACCCAATCATTTGTGAGTGGAGTGGAGTGGAGTGGAGTGGAGTGGCAACTAAAACCGAGACAGACATCTAGCTGAAAGGACTCCGACTCAAGGTAATCATTTCCACAATATTAGTGAAGAATATTCGTGCTTTTGGGAGCAGTCTTGCAAACAGCCAGACGCCACAATTTAATCGTGTACGTGCCTCCTTGCAGTGTTTACATTTTGGATTTTATGCGATTAATACTCAACACCCCAACATCCAAAGCGAAAGCCGGGCGGGCCGCGAGTGTAATTGCGAGTTTTTGGCTCGCTGCTGGCTGCTGTCTGCTGTCTGCTGGCGGATTCTTTTTGCAGCTGCCAAATAAGTACAGCAACAATAACAAGGGAAGGCAATAAAAAGCCACCGCCAAGGGCTTTAAACCAGACAGCCGCAGCGGCAGGCCACCAGCCACCAGCCACCAGCCACAGTCGCATCCGCAGAGGAGTCTTAGCCAAGTGCCTTGCCTTCGAGGGCTCCTCCGTTCTGGCGCAAAGTAAGCAAAGAAACAAAACCAATTTTCATTGTTTTGCGGTGGCTTCCAAGTCGCTTTCGCTTCATGGTGATGGCAGGGATTGAGGTGCGCAAGCAACCGAAAAGTATAACAAAATTTCCATCAGCATATAAACACACACCAACACACACACACACACACACACTAACACTATGGACTGGCAAAAAAATGTGCAAATGCCAACATGAAATGAAGTAGAATGTGGCATGTGGCGTCCTTCTGCTGCTGGAATGCTACTGAAAATGAGAAATGAAATAAACACATGCAAAGGCAAAACGCGTTGGCCGCAGGTGGCAGCGAAAGTCTAAGAACCAGACTTTGATCAAATTTTAATGAATTATTTGGACATTTTTGTACAATTTTTATGCAGAAAATAAACTTAGTTTTCTGCTTTCAAAAGGCAGCATCCTGAAGGGGAACAACATCTGAATTATATACCTACAAAAGAAGCAAAAAGAGAGAGAGAAACTTTTTGCGTAAAACTTTTAGCCAGCATTTACGTAAAGTTTAAGTTAAAGTTAAAGAAGCAAAGTGCCAACGAGTGTACCGTGTGGTAATCCCCAGTTATAATGGGGATATCATTCGAGACACAATAAGAACCACTCATTGGGGAACGAAATGAACACAGGGGAGAACCGTGTGAGGCATAAATAAGTCGTTTGCAGCTGTTCGTCGGCATTTACTTGGTTGCTTGTTCAGCGCCAATTGTTTTTTCCTTTGGAGGGGTAGCTTACATCGTGCAATTTCGTATGCTAAAATGTTTCGTGGCATACTTTGTGGCTGTGGCAGAGCCTAACCGCACGAACTGACAGCTAGACACGCGCTAGCTGCCATTTAATGCAATTGATTTGTGTTGCCTAATTCGGTTAGACGCGGCCTGCCTTAGACATGTGTATCCAGGCACTCATGCCACACGCGGCAGCGGAGACGCCACAACTCAAAGGCCTATCAAGCAATTTTCGGGGCCGAAAATTGCCAGTTTTAATTCCATTATCGGAGTCAGGGCAAGGCCACTTCGACCATCCTTTGTTCTCCTACTCCCAGCAGTGTGTTCTCCCCCCTCGGCTCTGGGCAGGATTCGGGGCACATACGCACGCGCCAGCACAACAGTTGATTGATATTCAATTGGTGGGCTTTGGTCCTGCCTTTGGTTGCCTTTTGTTTCCCGCTTGCGGTTTGGATTTGCTGCTACATGAGACGCTTTAATCTGCCACGACAGCAGAACGGCAGAACGGCCGAACGGCAGAACATATTGTGGGATTCCCTTTTGGTCACGCCACAAGTTGTTGGCCCAGTCCAGACTCCCTTTTGCTGCTGCTCTGGCTTGGGCTTAAGCGCTTTAAGTAATTTATAAACGCCTTTCGACCAGGCCAAAAGCAAAACAGAAGCAATAACAACTTTATTGGATTTTCTTTTCTCTCCGCCATGCACTTTGCTCGTCTTGCGGGAGAGGAGGCAACGAGCGAGAGTCTTTTGGGCTTTTCTTGTTGTGTGTTAATTGAATGCGATTAGGCAGCGGGCAGCAGGAGAGGCTTTAAAGGCTCCCCAAATTGCTTAGGATAAAACGTATCTAAGTCGGGGCTAACGAGCAACCGCTGCTGCTGCTGCTGCTGCTGTCAAGGTGACGACGCACCTGCAAGTATTTTCTCCTCATTTGGCTCAATGGAAATTTCATCCCCAGCAGAAGATGGCTACAGTTCATTGGAAATTCAATGCGGTCGCGATATCATTTACGACATCGCCCATTAAAAGCCAGGAAGCAGCAGCCCGGCCCGTGGCCACGTTTTTAATATTTTAATTATTGCACGGAACGCAAAAGCGAACGCGATAACTGCGTGGAATCATATTCCCAATGGTGGACGGCCCCTGCAGATAACAAAATCAATATCCCTGCCAGCAGTCCACGAGGACTGGAGACCCTTTTAAAGCTTCTACGGCAATGGGGAAGGCAGTCAGCCTTCAGCCTTCAGCCTTCAGCCTCTTGGAGCTGCGACTACCTCAATTTCCCTGCGGTTGGAGCCACTTGCTCTCTCTCTCTCTCACTTTGCACAGTTTTTCCTGTCAATTTGCTCAATTTGTATTTCAAATCATGCCGGCAATTTAAATGTCCTAAGAGAGAAAGACTGAAGTCGACTGGCTGCGCCCCTGAAAAACTATGCCACACTCCACGGCCTACGCCGCTTTTATTGCCAAGGTTTGAGGCTCGAGACTTGGCTCTCGGCTCTCGGCTCTCAAAGTGATATATATTACAAAGACGTGGTTTAAGTTCAGGCACAAAGTGGCAGGAATTTCATGAATTTCATTTGAATTCGTAATTGGTTTTTTTGCCATCGAAACTGAGAAGATGCCATGATGCCATGCCATCGACAGCGCCAGCTCCATTGCTATTTCCAACTGGCATTTTATTTATTTAAATTTAAACAAAAAACTCACTGCTAAGCGCATTTTTCTTGGCCCTGGCCCTGGCCCCTAGATATTCTTTAAGTAACTCCAGGAAGTTCATAGTTCGTTGCCCCAAATCCAAATTGGAAAGAGGCTCAGGCTGAGGCAATTGCTGCGGCACGAGGCACTCGTTCAACATTCATTTTGTTGTACGTGGGCATGTCTTTTTCCGCCTTTCGCTGCATTATGTTGCTTCAGTTTTTTTCGGGCCTGCCTGCTCTGCCTTCCTCCCCGCCGTTGTGTAGTTGTTGCAAAGTTTTTAATTAAATTTTATGTTGACTTTTGTATGTCTGTGCAGGCCCCGCCTCCACCACCAGCACCACTCCTGGCTGCTTTCTTACGTTCCTGGGAGTTTGTGTCTGTAATATATGCCGCCTACTGCTCCACTTTACACACACTCGCACATCCTGCCCTGCTTCTTGTAGTCCTGCGCCGCCTGCTGCTTGGCGAAAGCCTCGTCTGTCATTATTGCAATCTTTGCGAATGTTCAACGACTTTTGCACAAAATATTTAGTAGCTTGTATCAAAATATTTGCGCACAAATTTGTTTATTGAAAGCAGCAGCAGAACGGACAGAGAGAGAGAGAGACTCCCCGCCTGGATAGCTGAGATGTTTGCCCCAAAAATCTCGGCATTGGCAACGGTTCAAAACTTTGCCCACTGACAACTCTCTCTCTCTCTCTCTCGCTCTGCAATCTCTCGTTGATTGCCAAAAATGTTCAACGTTCCCAATAACTTTCATTCATTTTCCCCTTGGCCTTTCCTTTTGCTGTGCATGCCGCACACATTAAAACTCTAATTATCTGCATTAGTAATGGCTTAGGAGTGCGAGGGAATGGGAATGGGAATGGGAATGTGCAGCTACAGGAAGTTAATATGTCTTTGGGGGGCTGAGCTGCTGAAAAATGGCGCAACTTTAAGTGCGGAATCGCGCTGCTGCCTTGTGCGCCATTTTCACGCCCAATTTCCAGTCATTTTTCATTGCCACAGCCCAAGTTTTTTACTAATTACTTGGACCGGGAGGGGGGTCCCTCCCACGTACAAACTTTGCTTTTAATTTGACAAATCATTGCGAGCGGGCTACACATTTCACTCTTCACTCACTCCTTGACAGAGGGGCCCAGGAAGTAAGTCCCTTGGCAGCATCCCCTTTCTGCTTGTATCCTGCAGTCAACTCCGCCAACTTTCGCTTACACCAAAAAGGGTTCCTTCTTGAGTTTTCTTCCTTTTTTCTGTTGCCTTGCTTTCAGCCATTTTCCGCTGTTTGCATTTCAAAATGTGCAAATAAATGTGGACCCAAGTCTGCTCTCAGCAAAGCAGCACAGTTTTTCCTGGTTGAGTTTTTCTTTAATTTAGGCGTTTCCATTGTCGCTGCGTTGGCTCGAAAATAGTTTTATTTGCATTTAGATTATTGTTTTTCTTGTGATACGATCTGCAGTCTTAACCCTTTGGCACTTGTTTTGGCAGGGTTTCCTTTGTGTAAACTTCTGTTCGCAGAACGGCAGGTGGTCGTGTTTGCCGTGTTGTTTATATTCGCTTTCGAATAAAAAGATAATGTTATCTCGTTGCAAAAAGGGTTTTCCTTTCAGTGCCATTGTACGGCCAAAGATCAAGCGTTGATGATGGAATATTTTTGACACACAAAGAGGAAGCCCCAAATTAATCAAAATATTAAAAATAGCCCAAAAGGCAGTTGGACATTTTATGAATTGTGTGGCCAGACCCCAGTCCGACTGCAGTGACTCTTTAAACACAGGCCTGGACCCTTTCGCCCGGCTAAGCAGCTGCAAAGAAAAGGTCTGCCGGAAAACCTCAATCACGCAGAAACAATTTCGCTGGGAAATAAAGCAAGAAAAAGGAATGGCGAAGGAGCAGAGGGAGTGAAAAGCATTTCAAGCAAACCAAAGGCCGCCAAGAGGGGTCACTGTTGAGGCGCTGTTGAGGATGTTGACCCACAGCAGAGCGAACACTCTCTGGCCCCCCATTGTACTTCGATCTGGCATACAGAGAGGTGCAAGAGGGGGCAAGGCCTGCCAGTCTGGTGTGAAATTGATTTAATGAGTTTCCATCAGGGTTTTCCATATTTCGTGCTCAAATTAAAGTCTGTCTGCAGCTGC